AAGCAGGGGTGGGAAGACAGAGGCTTGTATGCCTGCAACCCGGCTTTCGGGTTGCTTTGCAAAACTGCATTCCCGGTCTGTTTCCTGGGATGCAAATGACGCGGGGGCCAGATCTGCAGCCCAGTATGCAGGGGCGGGAAGGCAGAAACTTTTATGCCGGACAGCCTTTGAAACCACGCGCCGCCGGGCCGCGTGCATGGATCCTGCGGGGGGTAGCCTCCTTATCCCGCCGGGAGGGGGCTGGGATGAAAAAGCCTACGACGCCCCCGGGGGGGTCTCGCACGATGTGTACCAGCTCGGCCCGTTGTGTGTTGAGACACCTTGCGGGGGAGCGTGCCTGCAGCGGCGAACTCGAGGCAAAAAGCCTCCGCGGCCCTGCAGGGTTTCCCGACTTCCCAGGAAGGCAGGCAACTGGCGGCCGAGCCGCCTGGCCGGCTCGCTGATTCCGCAGGGGGGCGACATCGATCCCCCTCGCTGGGGCAGGGGCGTGCCGACCTCCCCACCAGGGGCATCCCCTGTGGGGCGCGGCCGTTTTGTCGTGGGGCCCCGGTGTCTCCCCCCTAGTGTCTACCGCCACCGGCGCAGTTTACCTATTCGTTTGCCGGCCGCGCTGCGCCGCCTGGCCCCGCCCTTGCCTTTCGCGCGGGGCTTTTCTGTGTGAGCGCATGTGCCGCTCCGTTGCTTGTTCAGGGGGCCGTCCACACCAGGCGCGACGGCCACCATGGCGCCGGCCGAGCGGCGGCCAGGTCTAGTAATTACCTTTGTAATGTTGCAAAAAAGTGGCACTTCGCCTTGGCGACGGTGACCTTTGGTTGTCGCTGCTGCCATGTTTGACGCCTAGTACAACGTGTTCGTTCAGGAGAAAACAATCTGAGAGAGATGATTCCCGCTCGCGCTGATTGAAGCGGTAGATGAGCATAGAAGTGATGAATTCTTCTACTTCATCGACACTGAGAGACAAATCTTTTTGCTGCAGCTCCTTGAGAGGGTGTACTGTAGTTCTCTGTCCTGTTTTTACCATTTTTGCATTTGGAATCCTTTAAAGTTTTGAGATGTTGTCACAATAGTTCCATCTTCTAAAAGTTGGAGAGTCGACAACCACAACATCAATCTGCATCGGTTGTCAATAGATTTGTGATATGATTCAGGAGGACCTCTCTGTTCGAAGCCCGGACCGCTTTGTGAAATAAATTCAAATGAACAAAAGACATACAAGATATACGAAACTTCATCGCACGTATGGCTTGTTGTGCTCGGCCACCTCGGCACGACTCCAGTGAAGTTGTTGATGAACAAAGTGCAGCTGCTGTAACGCACCCACACAGAAGTACTAAATCAATCATGTCCAAGCACCAGCTGCAGATGTTCGATGAGGTGGTCGCAAAGTTCCCCTCCTACCGGGGCCGCGACGATAACCCCTGGTTCTCCGGCACCGTGCTTGGCGTGAACCAGGACGAAGACACGTGCAAAGTGCAGTTCTGCGACGGGGACATTGGGGAAGGCGTGAAGCCGAGCGAGGTTCTCTACTGCCCCTCGGGTCGCGCGGACGACTACGGCAAGGGGGACAAGCGGGGCGAGAAACCGGCGGACGCACAGGAAGTCCTGATCGGCGACGAGGAGGGGGAGGAGGAAGTTATCCTGTGGAAAAACGTGGTTCTACCCACTCGTGCTTTGCAAATCCAATCGTTTTTACGCATCACAAATTTAGCCACATAGTACTACAATTGTGATGAGCTGGCATGATAGGCCTACCTATCGGGTAAATAGGACGTTTCTGTACAGGATAGGCTTCGGTTTTGACGAGTTGTTCGCGAAATATGAGGAAGACGCTGAGAAGGTTTTGGCCATGACGGGTTGCAGGTTTTTGTTGGCGAAGGGGCATGCCGAGTGGCCGCCGGTGAAGAAGGCGCAGATCATCCGAGCCATGCAGGACGCCTGCGAATATTACAACAAGTATTTTTTCTACAGATTTGATATAGTCGGATTTGGAGATTAATTCCTATACCGAGGACACTGTGAATAACTTGCGATATCGGAATTTCGAATTCTCTCCAGACGAACTACGCCTTGTCCTACCTCCTAGCAACTTGTTGAAAGAAAACATCCGAAGAAGAAGCTGCATGCGGAAGAAGGTCATATTAGCAACAAGACTACTAGATCAACCACTCCACTCTAGATATTCCTCCTTCGACCGCCTGATGACGGCCCATTTCGACCCGGAGTGTGGCACCGCCTGCGCCGGTCCGCACGGGCACATCCGGTTTGGGGGCGCGCTGAATTTCTCGGGCGGCGCGCACAGGGCCATCACAAGAGTGGCCATGCACGAGATTTCGCACGTGTTCGGCGTTGGTTTGCACGGCGGGTGGCGCGGAAACATGGAAAAGCAGGGCCCGAACCACGAGAAGTTTGGCGGCCAGGGGATTTGGACCGGACCGCACGGGTGTGCCGTGTATGACAAGTGGAAGGCGAAGAATGCGAAAGTGCTGGAGGCGGGCTGCCCCGAGGAAATCGACGCGATCTACTCGGTATGGATTGCAAATATGTCTGGGTCTGGAAGAATGCAAACTTGTGTTGCGCATTTCAGATCACAGAAAAATCTCTCAAGCAGAGGTAGCAAAAGCTGCCCACTTTCTGTCACCAAAGTGGGGGATTTGTCATGCGGATTCGGCATTGCGGAAGCTTCTCGCGACCTGTGATGCCAGAGCTTCCATGCCAGACCTTCTGTGTCATGCAAAAACAGCATGACTCTCCCAGACCCAGACACTTTTGCAATCCATATTCGGACGGCCTGCACTTCTGGCCGGGCGGGTTCGCCTACTGCAAGGAGTGGCGGGAGGAGGACGACGTGCAGTTTCACATCGAAATGGTGGCTGCGATGAAGAAGGACTGTGACGAGTTGGCCGGGGCGCTGCACCCGAGCATGAAGCGGACGTTGTTGAAGCGGGGCATTTACTTCTTCCTCCTCGGGAAGAGCGATACCGTTTGCTGGAGCCAGTCCACGTCCCGGAGCAAGATGCGGTGCGACGAAGCGTGGGCGCGTGCGGACGCTAGCGCGGTCGCGAAGTACATCGAACACCGCAAGGCGCACATGATGCCGCCCGACTTCACGCACATTCAACAGCTGGACGAGCTGGAGTCCGCGGACGTCGAGAAGAACACGGCAACTACTGACGCAGCGGGGGCGAATATCGAAGAAAAAAACTGTGTAAGTGTAACTTTTTTGCAGGAACAGCATCACAGATTTGTTTTCCATGACAGAAAACTTGTCATGCGTAGCTAGTATGCTAAAACACGTACTAAAATAGCCTCTGATGCATATCCGGCATGACAAGTGTAACTGTATTGCAACATCTGCAAGACAAAGCTACACTTACACAGTTTTTTTCTTGCATAGCGAACGAGGAGGAGGACGAGAGCGAGGAGTTTGTGTTGTCGTATTACAACTCCTGCGACCGCTATCACAGGAAAAAAGTCTTTCACTGTAAGGATTTTGCAACTTTTGCATCACAAGTTTGTTCCGCATGACAGAGAAAATTTGCCATGCAAGCTTCCTAAGGGAAAACACAGCTAAAAATCCACTTTCTTGCATGTGTAGCAAGTCAAATGCTTCTGTGTTCCATTTTATGCGTAACAAGTTTACAGTGAAACAGTTTTTTCTTGCGATAATCGCGTGTGGGTCGCGAACGCGGAGGTCGGGGGCAAATTGAAAATCATCGAGGCGACGTGGGGCAGCTCCGCGGCGGCGGCGGTCGTGTCGACGGATCAGGTGCAAAGCAAAGTGGCTGATGGAGGGGGTCTATCAAATGCAAAAATGTCTGGGTCTGGAAGGCTGGAACTTGTCATGCTGTGTTTGGATTCTAAAAAAATTTGCATTGCATGACCAGCAAGAGGGGTCGGGTTTGTCCTAAGCGGAGAGGGCATTTCTCATGCGGGGTACGCATTAGGAAGCCCTCTAAAAATCTGTGATGCTAGACCATGCATGAACGGCGTCATGGATCATACAGGATCTGCATGACAAACCTGGCAGTCTTCCAGACCCAGACATTTTTGCATTTGATAGGGTCTTGGGATTGGGGATTTTCTGACGTTCGGGGAAACAGCCCCGATCCACAGCGACGAGGCGCTCGGCGATCCAGAGCCGGGCGTTTCAAAAATATTAAGTGCAAAAATGTCTGGGTCTGGAAGGATGTAACCTGTGATGCGCATTTCGGAACACACAAAAATCTCTCATGCATAGGTAGCAAAAGCTGCTCACTTTCTGTCACAAAGGTGGGGGATTTGTCATGCGGGTTTGGCATTGCGGAAGCTTGTCGAAACCTGTGATGCTAGAGCTTCCATGCCAGACCTTCTGTGTCATGCAGAAACAGCATGACTGTTCAGTTCCAGACCCAGACACTTTTACATTTGATACAAAATGTTCAAGTGCATCTTTTCGGACGGGGTCCCCGGACAGCCCGGGAGCTTTTTCGTGCAGTACCGCGACAAGAAAACCATTGACGCGAGCTGGGCCGGAAACCAGCCGAACTCCGCAGGGCCGGTGGACATCGCGCACCGGGGGCGGGAGTTGTGGGTCGAGAAAGCGACGTGGGGGCCGAACGACGCTTGGCAGTCGAATTCCGACGTCACGGAGAAGGTGAGGGCGATGGTCGACGGGGCCGGGCGGTTGTGGACGCAGGGGATTTCGATCGCGGAGCTGCTGCCGGACCCCGCGGAGGGGGAATTCAAAATCTTCACCGTGAGTATCTTGTTGGAATAAAATGTACTCTGGAACCCAGACTTAGCATGCTCATCTTGCGTGTGCAGACAAGTACAATTCAGTGCGGCTCTCAACATGCAGTTATTTGGTTGGGTGCGATTGCCACTGCATCATTTGAGACACTGACTCTCTAAAAGTCCGGATCACGAAGCCGTTTTTTCGTGATGCGGATAGATTACCTGATCACGACTACACTGCCTGCCGAGTCATGTTGTCATGCAGAGGTCGCAACAGGAACACTTCTGGACCTGGACCTCCCCAGCACTAGGAAAGTGCATCTTTTCTCTGGGTCGTGGCTGTTTTCAAACAGGATACTCGAGTTCACGTGCTTATAAGAGTGGGCCAGACGTCGACCACACCAGTCACCATGAAGAAAGGCCTAAAGAGAACGGAAAGTCTACTCAAGATGAACATTGTGTATGATAATCGCCACATTCAAGAAGAAGAAAGTGATAGAGTTTACCAAAATGTACTTTTTCAAAGGCATCCTATGGCTCTGCCGTTGGCAGATCAAGAGCGTGATGAAGATGATAATACACCTGTTTCACGTTTGATATCACGCAATTCTATTTCACCACGACGCATATTTAAAGGTATAGTCACGCGACGCGATATTTCCTTTAGGCGCTACCGCTATTAGTGGAACTGTGCAAGATGTTGTTCCACAAGATACAGGTGAAGGGTTCAATGCGGGGCAATTCTTTACTGCAAGTCACAAAGATCGTGATCGCAAAGTAGGTGCGAGACGCTTTGCGGACGCACGCGTGCTCGCGTGAGAGAGAAAAGTGAGGGACAAAAAGTAAAGTCAAACTTTGTTGCAGATGCGCTGTCCAAATTTTTCCCACTTCCTTTGTGGCTGCTCGTGCATGCTGGGCCCAATATTTTGATCATGGAGAGACGAACAAATGAAAAAGAGGCCATGCGAGAAAAGGGGCAGGATTGCTGTCGTATCCGCGATGACGTTTTCTAGAATCAAGACTGGTGTCTCTACACGTCGGACGCATTCTTCTGGTTGTGGAGAGCAGCGAAAACTTTTGCCGCTACTCGAAAGGTGCATGATGTCATTTAACTAGTTCAGACCGCAGCTTGCACCTCGTTCGTCTTTTGTCGTGCGCCTTCCCGATAAGTAAATCATGTTCAACATCGAGCCTCCTCCGTGCGAAAGCGACAAAGCGACCGCATCTGCGGCGTCGCCGCGGCTACCTACACTTCTAGAAACCGGTACCGACACAGCTCCCAGTCCCACACGTGGCCACTCACCGCTATCGCAGAGATCAACTTTGCACCACGGTGAGAGGTTCGCAGCTCGCAGTTTTGCCACCCAACGCGAGGACTGCTGCAGTAGTAGGTCTCCTGCTGCGAAAATCACGGAGGAGCGGAAGCAGCCACTCTACAAGGCCTCTCTAGAACCGCGGGGTCATCGCTGCTCGGAGCAAAGTGCCGTCGAAAAGCATGGGTTGCTTTTGCGAACCGTCTCAGCGCAAGCGGATAGAGGTAGCACACTACAGACAACCGTGTGGTCAGGACCCGGAGCTGCAGCAACAGCGGGAGGTGATGGCTTTGGGCGGTTGAGCCGTACTACGCAGGTAGATGACCCAGAATCTTCTGCAGAAGGCGACGACGACACGCTCACTGCCGCTGCTACCTTCGAATCGATTGCAAAACGCAGATTCACGTGGCAGTACGAGGGGCAGACGTTTGATGTGCGGGCTACTTGTGCGGAGAAAGAGAAACTACTGGGCAGCACAACTAGTTGTACTGCAGAGGAAAGCCAGTTTTCGACTTCCACCATGTGGTCAACATTTTCAGCAAAGCCCTTCCCTTCTGCCTTGACCCTTTTCCGCACACGCATGGGCAGGAGGCGAACGACGATTACGCGTGTGCAGATAAGTTTTAGCCCAGACAGCGTCAACGACTTCGTCAATCGAAATACCGCCGTCCGCAGACCACGCACTTCTAATGCCTCTCGAGGTGCGAAGACTACCAGGAATAGCGGCACCGAGGTTTTCAGGCACAAGGTAAGTAGATCCATGGAAAATTACAATTCCTCTTACATGATGAAGATTAAGCACCACGTTGGACGGCGCAGCAACACAATTTTGGTTAAGAGGAGATCGTCGGTGGAAAAGCGACTGAGTTCATCATCGGCTTGTGTAAACACAACATTTGTTTCAACAACATCATCACCGAAAAAACGCTTCTCCGACGCCGTGAATTTGACACCGGACTATCAGCACCGCGTTTATTTCAAAAACATTCTGCAATGCAGCGGCGCCGCGGTGTTTGGGTCTGCACAACAAACGAGAAATCGTATTCAGCCCGCCCACGAACAGACCGGCTGCAGCACCCGCGTGTTGTACGACGAGGTGCACTACCAGGCCGTTGCGCAGTTAGAAAAGGACGCGAAAGTTCTCTCCCCGGGCTTTCTCATCGACTTCTGTTTGCTCTGTCTCGGGCTCTACAGCTTTTTATCAGCTGCAACACCATCTTCTTTTCCTGGAAATAATGGGTACACGAACAAGATTGGCAACGGGAACATCCACTACCCTGATCACTGCGGCGATGCGGGTTTCGTGATCATGCGAGGCGGAACTACTACAGGTATGATGAGTGCAGCCGCAGGACGAGAGCATAGCACCGGCGGTTTCTCTACCAAACTCTCCGAACAGCCCCGCATCACATCAACAACACATTGTACTACTCCGCTATCCGTGGCACAAGTTGCAGCTGTTTCAGTTCCGCATACATTGCACGACACATTTGCGGCTGCCTTGTACACGTTCTTGCTTGAGCTTTTCGTGTATGCGGCTTCCTTCCTTCTCGTGCCGACTTCTTATTTCCCCTGCGCCGTTCATGGATCGACGAGTTGGCGGAGGGTCGCGCACGTCGGCACGTGGTTCCTCTTCTGTCGCAATGTGAAGGAATCGGTCGTGATGCAGCGTGAAGTTGTGAATACAGGTGGAGGTTTAGGAACGGTGGTTTTGACGATTGGCGTGTTTTTTGGAATTTTGAGTTCTTTGCAGCCCACCGCGGGAGTTGATGAGGGGCAAGGACAACTTTTGAGAAGCCACCGGAGCGTCCGGATGTACTTACTCTTTCTGGCTTTTTGTAACACGTTGATGGCTGTATTTGGAAGCCCATTTATTTTTTTCGAAAGTTTCAACTGACTAGTTGTAGTGTACGATTTTTGTTTCATCATGACATCAGATTTTCATTTTTCATGCATATTCTTGGTTTTCTAGTAAACTTGTAAAACGGAAGATACCACATGCACATGAACGCCGACATTTGATATCGAGAACAAGCGAATGACGTTGGCTCTCACGTATGTAGTGACTTTGTGAAGTTTGACTTTGCATGCCAAAAACTAGAAATTTGGTGGTCAAAGAACACCGACCGGGGGATATTCTTTGTGTAGTGGGTGCTGTGACGCAGATTTGTTTTTTGTAAAGATGCATACTGTCTGTGTCTGATAACAGTCGTAACATTTCATCGACGAGCCTAGCAGTTCTTTGGTAAGGGCAAAGTTTTCTTGTTGGTTTCACGGCCGTGAAACACGGTTACGGTTTGCCTTCTGCTTTTCTGGGCAGAGCGTGTTCTGGTTCTGGACACAGCAAATTGCTCTGTTGAGGCGTCGAAGGGGCAAAGAGGAGGACTACGAGCGTTAGCAGCAAACTCTTTCTTTCACAAGAGGAAGAGACGTTAGTTGTTGCCGCCCGCCTGCCGACATGATGGAGGAGATCCTAGAGTAGACGAAACAGGAAGCAAGCGAGGTCATGTTTTTATTGAGGCTTTTCGAGGAGCGTGGCTGAGGATTATCTATCAATCGTGGTTAGTCTGCTCTTCATCTTAAGGCAGCACAGGTTGATGCCGAATCTCAGTATTTAAGCCTGACAAATTGATTGTTCGCAAGAAAACTAGAAGCGGGAGAGACAAACGTGCTCAAGATGGCAGCGCTTTGGGCTCTCCTCGGCGGCGTGTTGTCATGTCAGTAGTGCAGCCTCATTTCCTGGAGGCTGTGCGGTCGCGCCGCGGAGTGGCTATGGCGATCGTGGCGACTCGCCGCCCACTGTGGAGTACGAGTGCGGCGGAGTTCGCGACCTGTCGCCGAATCCGGGGGGGCGTCGCATTTCAGCGACGCGGGGGCGGCGGCCCGCGTGCGCGCGGGCGGAGATGGGCGGGCAGTGGCAATCAAAGAGATGTCGAAAAGCGACTCGGCAGCGGTGCGCGAATCTTGGCGCAGCTTCCCCCGCCTTGGCTCGCGGGCTGGCGCGCTACAAGCAAGGGGGCCGGCCGCCGCATTGCCGGCGTGCCCTTTCCCGACGCGCGGGGACTTGGCCCCGTCAGCCTATTGCACGCGTCAGGCGGCCCCGGGCCGCCTGGTTCTTTTCCCTGGACAAGAGCCAGCAAGCCGGGGGCAGGGGCCTGCCGGTCAAGCCGGTTTATTCTCCGTAGCCTGCCCCTCTACCACAATGGAAACAGCGGACGCGGTAAGATCCCGCAAGGGAGACGCTACAGAGCTGCCCGGGCGAGTCCGCAGGCTTCCCCAACATCCGGCACGCGCGGGCTTGGCTTGGCCTGTCAGGGCCCGCCAGCCCAGTCGCCCGCGCGGCCCCCTGCTAAAGATCGCCCCGCCCGCGCACTATGGCGGAGTTTCTGCCCGGCAGGTCTCGGGGGGTGGTGTGCTTCCTGTGGCGCGCGTGGGGACGGACAGGTCGGCGCCGAAGTGCGCGGCGAGGAGCAGCCACGCAAGGCAGCCGGGCCCCCGCCTCTTCCCGCCTTGGCGCGCGCGCCACTTTGACACGGGTCTGGTCACTCAAATTTGGCGAAAGGCGCGCGGCCCGGCGGCAGTCTTCTCCGCATCCCCTGTCGGCGCGCTCGTCACGCGTAAGAAGGCGCGTTGCCCCGCACCGGGGCGCAAGCGGCCTGCCGGCAAGCGCGGTAGCGCCGCGACTTGTTTTCTCAGGGCAGCCGCCTTGGCGAGTGTTATTGATCAACCAAAAATGGATACATATGGGGCGATGGATCTCTTTCTGTTCGGTCTTGCGGCACGCCAGCAACATTGCGTCCGGAGATGTATTTAGATAAATAGTGGCAAAACGGCAAGAGCGCACAGTGGTTCCCAAACACCGGCCACCGAAGAGGGAAGTCTGCTGAATGGACCAAAATTTTCTATCGTAACTAGAAGATGCCAGCAACCGTTTGGCTGTCCTGGAGAGAGGTGTGTTGAATGAGTCTAATAGTTACGCTGTACTAAACACATCATTTTGGTTGGAAATACAACGCCAAACAGGCTCTAGCACAGCAAAGAAGGCGCAACGCTCAGCCCACGCCGATCCAAGATGGTTGCCGCCACCTCCTTGGCTCGGCGCCAGCAGTCGCGAGGCCAAAAAGAGCCGCGCGTGCGCAGCAGCAGTCTCCGACGGATGTTCGGCTTTTCCTCCTCGGGCTCAAAGGCCAAAACCGCGAAAGCCACGGAAAGCAACAACGCTGACCCGAACGTCCAGAGAACGCCGACGACTCGCGGCGGGAACTACAAAAGCGCCGCACCCCTCGCAACCACGCCAAACCAGTCTCCTCTCCCGCCGACTGGAGAGAAGTTGTCTCGAAGTGCAGTCCAGAAGAAGAGCTACGGGAGCAGTGTTTCTTCTGGCGGACAACTACACCAGCACGCCGAACAGAGTCAGCAGCAGCATCAAATAAACTTCGCTTTTAATGCGACTGGGGCAATGTTCACGCCGGACAAGATCAAGACTTTTTCTACTACCCAAGCCGACCAAAGCTCTCAATTCGCTGACAAAGATAACTCCGGCCGCAACCGGCCACGCGTGCGAACAGGGACTCGCGAGGTCGTGAAGAAAAGTAGTCTCGTCTACGGCGGACCGTCGAAAATGACGAACGAACAACAAATTTCAACACGGCAAACGGCAACTCGACCTGCGCCCTTAGCTCAAGCAACCACCACCTACAATCCTGCAGCGCGCGTTCCGACTTTTGTCGGTGTCCCCATGGTCGTCCCGATGCCGCGCTTGTCGCCGGACAGAAAAGAGGAGCAGATACAGAACACCCCCTTTCCCTCCTTTCTCGACTTGGAGAAGCAGCGGGGCGCCTCTCCGCCGGCCGCGCTGTCGCCGCTGCTTTCACCGCTGGTCGTGCCGAAGTTGAACGCCAAGCCTGTGGTGTGGTTCGGTTCGCCGTCGCCGAAACAGGAAGTGCGGAGTGGCTGTGGTTCTACTTCCGGAGCGCCGTCGCCCGGAGCGGTGGGTGATCAGAGGGGACACGACGTCGACGTTGGTCCGACGCATCGTGGTTCGCCGCCGGCGGAAACAAATAAACAAGCTACACGAGGAGGACCGGTTGCATCAGCAGGACCAGATCTACGTGAAGACATAGTAGACGTAGACGAGGATGAAATCGCAACGCAAGTCGTTCGCGAGGAAGTTGACGAGCGATGTCAAGATCAAAAAATACAGCTGCACGATCAACAACGAATTTCTACGCCAGTTGAACATCAAAATGAATTCCTCCTCGACCACCCCGAAGACCAAAACGAGCACCCCCGGGTCGAGAGTCCGACTCCCTCGACGCTGGTTTCCGCGAACTTCGCCACGGCAGATGAAGGAGAAATACAAGCGGAACAGGAGCTAATATTGAGCAGAAAAACTACAAACGCAGCTGGCTGTGCCTTCACGCCTCCACCAGTGGATGAAAATAAAACCGCAGTTGTAGAGAGACCACTCCGCCCGGTGAATTTGCTGCAGCAAGACGTTTTGCAAATCTCCACCGCGAGCATGGATTTGCTGGCTTCGTCGCGTGGTCGGAAATTCGCCATGGAGCAACAGGAACAACAAGAGCAGAAGCAGCAGCGGGTGAAGAAGATGATGGTGGCTACAACTCCGGGTAAGTAGCTGCTTTTTGACAGATGTAAATGTTCAGAAAACTGTGAAGAACTACGTCATGACATGTTAGAGGTACTTCATATGCGCGGGGCAAATTCATTGCTTCAACTTCATTCCAAAAAATTATGACCCTCAGTCCGTTCCCCTTCCTCCCCCTGGCGGATGCCGAAGTTGAATCTGACGCCGCGAAGTGCTGTAGCTCCGAAAACACCAATCCCGGCCAAGGTCCTCCCGGACGCGCGGCGCTTCTCGATCAACTTGCCCTCGCCGCGGACGCACAATCTCTGCGGGAGCTTCACCCCAAGGGGAAGAAAAAAAACGGATAGCAACAGTCAGAATGGTCTTCAGCCGGAGTTTGTCGCGCGGACGGGTGGATTCTTGGGTACTACACGGTTTCGTTTACTTAGTGAAACTTAAGCTGATGAACGCTGCATGTGCAGTGCAGCTGCGTGCCACAAGTCTTGTTCACATGAAACAAAATTCGCTTCCAAATACTTAATTGAACAACAGACTCGCCAAACATTTCTGGTCTTAGTATCGGATCCACGCCACTTCTGAAACTCGGAAGACCGCCGGCGTTGCCTGCAGCTGCTGCCGTTATCGTGGAAGAGTCGAAGGTGAGATTGAGATGTAAGTGGTTTTTTCGGAGATTCGTCCTTCGTAGAGGTGTTCTCAAATATCAACAAATGCTGTTTCTTTTCGCTTCTGTGAATTGCGGCTCTATTCAACATCAAAATTTCCGGAAACGCTATTTATTTTTCATGCCCAGGTAATTCCTGATTCCGCGAATTTGCCTTGTTTCACCGCCGTTGCGCCAAAGACTCCTGTGGAAATGGTAGAGCCAGCGGAAGTAGTTGAAGTTCTTGCTCTACGACCTCTGAACAGTCAGGAACAAAACGTGCTGTCTGAACAAGGAGAAGGACCACCTTTGCGCCAAAATTGTAATAAAATTGATCCCCCAGCATCCCCCGGCAGTTCCTCTCGTTCCATCCAAACCGCAGCGGGCCAGCAAGAGGAGGCAGGGGATAAGAATTTTGTCGCTGTTGCTGGGGAAGATCAAGATCAACTACAGGTGCCTTCACACCAGGCAGCAAATGGTATAGCTGCAGTGGACCTAGAACCTTCAGTTGTCGCAGCGTGCGAAAATAGCGCAACCTCTGGTCTCCCAGCGGAAGTGTCGGAAGCAGTAGAGGAAACCCCAACTGCTGTAAACATCGTCGAGATCAAATCGCCGGACGAACCGCACCAAGCAGTGAACTCAACCCCGCGATCCGAAAGTAATTCCTCGCCCCAAGAAGACGAACAACCCGAGGAGGACGACGATGATGGCCCAGCTGCGAAGTTCGCGTATATCAACCGTAAAAATGTCTGGGTCTGGAAGAATGCAAGATTTGTCATGCATATTTGTCATGACCCACGATGCCTGTAATGCATGCCCCAGCATCACAGGTTTTTTATAGGATTTTTGATGCCCATTCCGCATGACAAATGCCTTCTCCGCGTAGCAAAAATTAGACTCTGTTTGCTGCTCATGCAACACAAATTTTTTAGACATCGAAACACAGCATCACAAGTTGCATTCTTCCAGACCCAGACATTTTTGCACTTAATATTTTTGAAACGCCCGGCTCTGGATCGCCGAGCGCCTCGTCGCTGTGGATCGGGGCTGTTTCCCCGAACGTCAGAAAATCCCCAATCCCAAGACCCTATCAAATGCAAAAATGTCTGGGTCTGGAAGACTGCCAGGTTTGTCATGCAGATCCTGTATGATCCATGACGCCGTTCATGCATGGTCTAGCATCACAGATTTTTAGAGGGCTTCCTAATGCGTACCCCGCATGAGAAATGCCCTCTCCGCTTAGGACAAACCCGACCCCTCTTGCTGGTCATGCAATGCAAATTTTTTTAGAATCCAAACACAGCATGACAAGTTCCAGCCTTCCAGACCCAGACATTTTTGCATTTGATAGACCCCCTCCATCAGCCACTTTGCTTTGCACCTGATCCGTCGACACGACCGCCGCCGCCGCGGAGCTGCCCCACGTCGCCTCGATGATTTTCAATTTGCCCCCGACCTCCGCGTTCGCGACCCACACGCGATTATCGCAAGAAAAAACTGTTTCACTGTAAACTTGTTACGCATAAAATGGAACACAGAAGCATTTGACTTGCTACACATGCAAGAAAGTGGATTTTTAGCTGTGTTTTCCCTTAGGAAGCTTGCATGGCAAATTTTCTCTGTCATGCGGAACAAACTTGTGATGCAAAAGTTGCAAAATCCTTACAGTGAAAGACTTTTTTCCTGTGATAGCGGTCGCAGGAGTTGTAATACGACAACACAAACTCCTCGCTCTCGTCCTCCTCCTCGTTCGCTATGCAAGAAAAAAACTGTGTAAGTGTAGCTTTGTCTTGCAGATGTTGCAATACAGTTACACTTGTCATGCCGGATATGCATCAGAGGCTATTTTAGTACGTGTTTTAGCATACTAGCTACGCATGACAAGTTTTCTGTCATGAAAAACAAATCTGTGATGCTGTTCCTGCAAAAAAGTTACACTTACACAGTTTTTTTCTTCGATATTCGCCCCCGCTGCGTCAGTAGTTGCCGTGTTCTTCTCGACGTCCGCGGACTCCAGCTCGTCCAGCTGTTGAATGTGCGTGAAGTCGGGCGGCATCATGTGCGCCTTGCGGTGTTCGATGTACTTCGCGACCGCGCTAGCGTCCGCACGCGCCCACGCTTCGTCGCACCGCATCTTGCTCCGGGACGTGGACTGGCTCCAGCAAACGGTATCGCTCTTCCCGAGGAGGAAGAAGTAAATGCCCCGCTTCAACAACGTCCGCTTCATGCTCGGGTGCAGCGCCCCGGCCAACTCGTCACAGTCCTTCTTCATCGCAGCCACCATTTCGATGTGAAACTGCACGTCGTCCTCCTCCCGCCACTCCTTGCAGTAGGCGAACCCGCCCGGCCAGAAGTGCAGGCCGTCCGAATATGGATTGCAAAAGTGTCTGGGTCTGGGAGAGTCATGCTGTTTTTGCATGACACAGAAGGTCTGGCATGGAAGCTCTGGCATCACAGGTCGCGAGAAGCTTCCGCAATGCCGAATCCGCATGACAAATCCCCCACTTTGGTGACAGAAAGTGGGCAGCTTTTGCTACCTCTGCTTGAGAGATTTTTCTGTGATCTGAAATGCGCAACACAAGTTTGCATTCTTCCAGACCCAGACATTTTTACATTTGATAGCGTACACGCCGGAGCGGTATCTTGACGTCCGCACGCCTTCGCCGCCGTCGACTGCTGNAGACTCTGTTTGCTGCTCATGCAACACAAATTTTTTAGACATCGAAACACAGCATCACAAGTTGCATTCTTCCAGACCCAGACATTTTTACATTTGATAGCGTACACGCCGGAGCGGTATCTTGACGTCCGCACGCCTTCGCCGCCGTCGACTGCTGGAAAGGGCGGGGCGGAGCCGGGTCAGAGTAATAAAGACGAAAGAGTTACTACGCAGGAACTTCCTGTTTCCGCCGCGACACCAGGACCAGTAGGCACCAATCGCGTACTGGAAATGTTGACTGCAGACGAGCAGGATGAAAAGAATGATGCGGGAGCACAACCATCTTCATCCTTGAAATCGGAGTGTGTAGAGCGGGAAGTAGACTACAAAGAGGACCAACAGGATCATCTTCACGTGACCGCGTGGGCGACAAAGCTCGTGGATTTTGTCATGACGGTGGCAGCGCGGAAGGCTGCCGTCGACCACGACCAGGGGGCCACGGACCCAATGCCCGCAGCCAAAACCTCCAGGACCGTCGGCCGAGTCGCGCGGGCATTCGGAAGTGCAACTTCTACGGCAGAGGAGGCACTACCAGACACCGTCGCAGGCGATGAAACTTCGACACAAGGCGCCAGCAAAGACAACGCTGAAGCGGAAAAAAGAGAAACAAACACCGCGAAAACGCCGCCGACTACACAGCAAATAGTCGAGTCACCACGACCAGGTTCGCGTGCTGACCGCAGCAGTACGGAAAATACGGAAAGAACTGAAGCAGCCACTTCTACTACCGCGGTTGTTCCACCCAGCGCCGCGAAGAAGGCTTTGGTCATCCTCGGCGGTGAGAGTCGGTCCGCCGAGGAAGAGGCGACGACCGAGTACATTCGCGCTGCCGCGTCTCCGTCCGATATCGTGACCACGCCCATTGCGGATTTGGACCAGCTGTTGCTCGTGACCTGCAACTCGGCCGGCGTGTATAACAGCGGTTCTTGCGCTATGTCAGAAGCTGGATCCATTTCGTCCCCAGCTTGCAACCTGTTCGCAACCTCCCTCTCCTGCGCCCCGGACCAAATGCAGCTGCAAGAGTCCTTTTACTCCGTCTGCACGGCCGGTGTGCCAGCGGCGAGTTGTGTGGCGGCAGGCGGTAAGAACGAGGGTGACAATCAGCAAAAGGAAGCATCATCGCCCATAGAGGGTGAGGATGGGCAGCTGTTTCAATCTCCCGGTGGAACGACCATGAGGGAAGTTATCTGCAGTTCGCCGGTCCAGAAATTTGAACCAACGGAGATAGCGGAACAAGGAAGCGAGGTTGGGACGACGACCGCGCTTCGTCCGGGAGATACGGCTGCGGCGGGAATAAATGCGTCGACACAGGCTGCTCCGGTGTCTTCTGCTTCGGAAGTTTTTGCAGAGGGAGCGAAGGTCAGTGAAGTAGTATCTATGTTGATCTTCATCGTCATCTGCAACTCTTTCTCTCGTCGTCCGATTTCTGTTCTCCTTCAAGACCGACCCGAATTTGACATCGGTAAAATAAGAAATTATTGCTGTCCTCACATTATCGTTCTCCCATTAAGCAAAACAAAAACTTCAGGTCATCACTAGTACCAGCAGCAATGTACCAGTCAACGAAGACCACGATGAAGACGCGAACAACTTCGCCGCCGAAGTAGAGGAGCCAGACGCGTACGCGAGTTCGCCTGAGGTGGCGACCATTTGTGGCGATTTGATCGACAGTCTACGGGACCGGGCCCTCCTGCTGCAGCCGACTTCGCCGCCGTTGGAGCGACAGGAAGTAGTAGAGAAACAGCAGGACAATTTGTCTTCAAGGGTTGATGTTCCTGTACGAGACGATAATGATCCTGAACAAGCGCCAAGTGGCCGTTTTCCAGTGTGGTCTTCTTCAAAGCAATGTCGTAGTCGACCGCCATCTCTCTCACCCGACGGTGCGTCTTCAACAACCTCCAGTATGTACAATAACTCCGGAACAACTGCGGCGGAGAGAAAAAAGATCCTCCCCGCGATGCCGAAGCTTGGGTGGCAGCTGCCGCCGCTGGCGCCAACGAAGACGCCAACTAGGAATAGTGGGAACAGCAACGCGAAAAGCGGCAGCACACTTTCCGACCGCCGTCCACCCGTACTCTCGGGAACTGGTAGTAGCAGCAGGGAAAAGAGTCGGCAACGTGATCCGATTCTCGCAGAGGAATATTCACCCGGTGGTCGTCACGGCCCCGGAACGACAGCACGCGGGACGTCGATGAGCAGTTACATCTTGCAAAGCCCGCGGGGAATTCTGCGAAGCCCCAGCATTTCCGGCTTCCAAGCAAGCCCGCTGCTGAAGCTCTTCCCAACAAGTAGACTGGGGATAGAACGAGATTCGGAAGTGGAGGTACTAGCGAAAGATGATAAATCATGCGGTGAACAACAAACACCGTCCAGCAGCGTCGCCAGCGCCACAACACCCACCAGGACAGGGAAAAGTAAAATGAACTCGAAAGAATCGCAAGGACACTACAACGATAAAAAAAGCACCGTTTTTGTGGCGGAACAGGAAAGCGGTGCTTCTTCAAACAAAAAAGACGACCCGCAGATGAGAAACATTGTTCAAAACCGTAACGAAAGACAACGACCGCCAAGATTGCAGCTGAACCTCCATGCCCCGGCGCTTGTCTCCTCTCCCGGATCCTGCACAGTGTCCTCCATTTCCGCGTTGTCGAACCGTAGTAGCGACTTGCGGAACATTCGACCAGACGACATCTTGCCTGAAAAGAGAAAAAATGGGAATTCCTTTTTCATCCCTGCCTCGCCGAGGTGCGACATGATTTCCAACAACAGCGAGAGGCCTCCAAAGCTGAAACTGTCCGGCCTGCCACCTCCGTCGCCGGTGGTCACAAGTGCGAGCAGTCTCTGCATGACGCCCCGGTCTCTGAGCTCCATCGGGGCGAAGCTGGAACTGGCGCGGCAGCGGTCAACTTGTTCCTAGGCGGGAATGTTCTCGATGAGGGGAGGAAACGCAGTTGCTGGCGCGTAGGAGCGACGCTCATTTTTCGTGTCGGTAGTACTCTCAAGAAAAGTAATATCACCTGACTTTTTTGTAAAAAATCAATCTGGTCAACCGGTCAAATAGCAGTGGAAATAGAACCAAGCATTGGTATCGCAAAGTAGAATTCGGACGGTCATCTGTCACTGAAAAATCAATCTTTTTCGCCCACTAAATATCGTTTGGCTGGAGCTTCTATGGATGTCATATACCTGGTTTCATCAGATTTTCCTATGTAGAAAGCAATTGTACTAAATTAGGACTGGTAAGTAGTTTTTCAGCAGCAATTACTAATGTCTTCAGAAATTTGGTCACAACATTGCAACAGCATTGAACGACTTTGTTGTGTTGTAAAATGAATCTTCTGCTTCTGCTTGCATGAATGTCCTTGTTAGACCGCTCAGCACATCAGGCTGATAACCATGTTTCCACTAAACACTAACACTGCTTTTTTGGCGCATCGCTCGTCTTGTGAAATTCCAGATCTCGTACTCGTCAAATAATGACCGGAGCAGCATAATGTGCTCTTCGAGCCAGGATTTTACAACGACCTCACGTACTTTTTCGCGCAACTTGTTCCACCAGCGGCCAAACCCGCGTTCACCTCTGCAAACAAGAACAGCTGATGAGAGGAAGGCGCTGTCGTCGTACCATTACCACGACTCTTCTACTTCGTCTTGAAGGAAGTCCACTGGAATTACAACGAGTGAACATGATAATTGTCAGTCCGCTATTGATTCATTGTATGATAATTGATTGTTGTGGTCGTCCCAATCGGTGCTCAAGCTGATAGATTGTCAACGATAGTGATTGTGAAAGTGAAGAACATCCACCAGAGTGGCCAAGATGAAGCTGGAGCGCGTCGTCACTTTGCTAAGTTGGACCGGGCTCCTGGCGGCCGATGCTGTGCACGTGCGTGTGGGAATCGCTACCGGAATCGCGGAGTCTTCCCAGGACGTCGGAACAAATGCTCGTGGCAAGAACATGCTGCTTTCCGCTCGTTTGCAGACGCGCGCGGACTTGAAAGAGATCACGCAGCAGGAGGCCACCCTGCAGAAGCACATCTCGCGGGTCTACTCCCTCTTCGAGTTTACGAAGGAGTTGCTGCTGAACGAAGAGATGGGAGGACGCTCTCCCAACAACAAAAATACAGCGGCCCGAGTAGACATCACCGCATCTATGCCCGCTGACGTCAAGGCCGCTTACGAGCAGTTGCAGAAAAACGACAAGGCTGCGTTGGGCAGAAAAGGCATGGTGGGCAACCTGATGATGTCTAAAGCGATGGGGCCGGCAATCATGGTGCCGCTGCTCCAAGAAATGTACGAAAAGTTCAAAGGCGACATCAAGCGCGCCAATGCGCAGGAAAAGCGAGCCGCGGACAGGGTGTCGAAGCAAGAAAAGGAGTACGTTGCCTTCCAAAACGAGGGGAAATCCTACCTGCTGGAGCAAAAAAAGATATCCAAGAAAAAAACGTTGTTAGTGTAAATTTGTGATGCGCAACATGCAAGATGATTGCGTCTGTCATGCTTGGCATGCATTGTAGGGTCTATCACAGGGCGTTTTCACGTACCATCTGCGCATGACAGGTTTTTGCTGTCATGCCAGACAGATTTGTAATGCTGTTCCTCCAATAAAAAAGTTACACCTCCTACAATGTTTTTTTCTTGGATAAAAGAAAGTGATCGACTACTACAAGAAGCAACGCGAAATCCAGCACCACCACTACCACACGATGCTGAAAATGGCCCATGCGATGATGCAGCGCATTACAAAGGTGAAACAAATGTGCGCGGATGCGGCTAACGGAAAAAAGCTGTCAGCAAAGCAACTCGAGGAGCTGCGGCTAGCCGCCCCAAGTACGAAGATTGTGCTGTGAATGAAAGCAGCCGAAGAAGGAGAATTCTGCAAGTTACTGAACTGCCGTTAGTCACTGAAAAATCAATGCGTTTGCAGTCGTGTTTCGAGTTTTTTTTTCCGAACATTCAAAAATAGAAAAGTTGAATGGCAATAGATTTACATTGACAGGAAGTGGAAGTCGTTAGCGTCTGCAGAAGCGACGATCTTCAACTGCTACCCAGGGATCACAACTGACTGTTCCTTTGTTCTTTCTACTACTCGCGATGCCACGACGTCCCTTAACTCTTCTCACTTCTTGTTCGTATGACAAATTTCCGTCCTACTTGTACTTCGTGTTCGTGTTGGTTGGCGTCCGCTGTGATTTCGAAGAGTCAACATGCTTCCAAAACGATTTTTTAGTGAGATCGAGATTCTGGCTGCATCATACATAGCGATAACCTCGTTCAGAGCAGGTTCTTGCTTGGCAGAACGCCGCAAAACCAAAGTCATCGTCTTCGTAGTCGTCAACATAAGTAAGTAGCTATGGTGTCAAGCATGCAGTTTTATCGTCCTTTTTCTGCTCGTTCTAATCGCCCACTGCTTGAATCGTTCTTCTACCTTTTGTATCTTACAAGAACAATGTCATTATCCGGTCGTGCGCGTCTTTTTTAGTTTTGAGCCAGTTTGTGTTTGTGTCGCATCTCAATAAGTGAACTCTCCATCCTCCACTTGAAAATTTCGTTTTCGTCTTCGACCTCGTCCTGCTAATGTCGACCTTGAAATGCCTATTGTATTTTTGCACCAGGCCTTTGTTCTTGGCTGTAAAATCTCTCCCCCCACTTGCTAGTTGCTACTGTGTAATTTTAGAATCGTTAGAAATGCTTTGCTAGCAGAGTTAGAGTAAGAATCGCCTCCCCGGGTATTCCTTCATGATGACGAAGCTGATTTTCCTACCCGTTCGCATGTTTAGAAGTAGTACTAGGGCAGCGCTAATATTGTTGTTTTGCAGCCAAACTGAAACTGCCCCCCGAGCCCGACTTTTTATCACTGAAGAGTCGTCGTTGTTGTACTATTTTCTATCGGAAATAAGAAGATCATCAACCTCACGAACAAGTACAACATGGGGCGAACCAGTGGTCCAGGTCGTGTCGGCCAGAAGAACATCAACCTTGAAGCGGAGTAAGAGAAGTTCCCCGCCGCTGGTCCCACCACGGCGGGGGCCACGGCCCCGAGGTCTACTTCGTGCTGCGGGGATGAAGAGAGAGCAGCAGTCTAGTAGAAAATCTGCTTCTGGGCCTACTGCCACCGCATCATTTACATTTTCGAAGACACATCCCCGAACAGGAGTAGATGGCGTCGCAAGCATTTCATTCTTGGTCGAAGGTGCGACTAGAAGTACAACTTCCGCCGGGAATACGACGAGGGATGTATCGGTCAAGACGGAAAGCGAATCGGACTCTCAGGCACGAGGGTCGCGTTTTTGGTCGGGGAAGGGAGGCGGGGGTCGGGGAAGCGAGGGCAGGGGTGCCGACCGCGGCGCCCAGACGGGGGGCAAAACGGCCCGCCAAGCATCAAAGGCTGCGGCGAAGGCTAACATTACGGATTTGTCCGAGCGAAGGGCGGCGTTCCGGGCGTTGAGGCATTCGGGGGACCACGGAAAACAGCACTTGCAGGAGGAGAAGGATGAGGCTACTCGGTCCCTGCGAACCATAGTGATCTCTCTGGGAATCGGAATCGGGATGATTTGTCTGGTGGCTTTATTCTCCTTTTTTGTCGCAGGGGGTTGTCACCAGGATTCCGAGGAGGCGCAAGAAGTGGTCCCAGCTGCCGGGGGGAGCACGGCGTCCGCGTCATTTTCCAACCAATTCGTCGTTGCGCTAGGCGCAAGTTATGATGACGAGGACCATTCTACAGCGACTCCGCGAAAGAAGAAGATGAAGCAGGGTCAATATGAAGCAGGGACGACATATGCATTGCAAATGTAACGTCATCAGGATCTGGAGGACTGCAAGTGTAAATTTGTGAAGATTTGTGATGTTGCTCCCTCCTGTTGTACAGTACGTGGTGAAATAAATCTGTCTTTCTATATACATGAAGAATGGCAAAAGTTGTGCTGTTTTCGTGCAGGATGATAACTGCGGCAAGGACTACTTGCCAGAAGCCTGGAGCATTCCAGACCTTGCTGGGTATAGAAATTCTGCAGGACAGAAGTAAAAAACGCTTGCATTCTTCCAGACCCAGACGCACAAATATTTGCAGTGGATAAGGCAGACCCAAGCGCAACGGAGGACGAAAAAGATCTTCTTCAGACGGCACAGTTTGGAGGCAACATTATGAAGCCGGACGATGAAGTAGATCATGTAGCAAATAGAAACGATAACGACGTCAGCGGCGTAGAGGTAGAGGACATTGGGTTTCATGGAAATAAGATTGCCCCTCCTGTACCAGTGATTCCCGTGCCGCCGGAGATGAACAAGAAAGTGTCGAGGACATCCAGGAAGAGCAATGTGGCCGAGCGATCCTCTCAGAGGGTGAGCAGAAAGAGCAAAGGTCCATTTTTAGCAGAGCGAGTTAACGGCGGTAGAAGCACGAAAGGTTCACTCTAGGCGGAAAACAAAAAAATGCTTTCCTCTTTGTGCCATTGGTTGCCAATTCTTTTTTGATGCACTTCCCTGATGCAAAATCATTTTCTCTTTTTCAAGTTCAGTTTGTTTCGCTTCACCTCTCGCCAACACTAGTCTGTTATTGTATTCCACCGCAGTTGTCGACGTGTTCTGGATAGGAATCAAGTGCCACTTTCTCGACTCGTGTTTCTGGCAATGTCGGAAAGTCAAAGAAATTTCAAAGGGATACAGGAAGTCGAAGTAGGACGGACATGCTTCTTCCTACCTGCAAGGTGAAGGTTGTTGTTCAGCCCGCCCCTTGGTGTCGTGATCGGTAAGTAGTAAAACCAGGTTCAGGTTTTACGGATTGTACAGAGTAGAGATTCCTAGTACAACAGCTGTGATCCTGGTCCCGCTCTGTAGCAATGCAAATCGTCTCAGATAATGATGAAAAGTCGTTCCGATGAAATTATCGTACTGCAAGAACTTTCCAGCTCCTTATAGACAAAAGGCTCACAGGCACAACTCGTAAATGCGTGCAAAACACCTCCACATGTGATACAACTAGCCCCGCTTGGTCGAGGACGCATCGTGCGCGTTCGCGCGCCGCAGGCCCAGCGGGGGGTGCCGGGTTGCAATAATACCATCGTCGTCCACCTCGTCGTCGTCGTGCCATCAGTAAGGATACAAGATCACAACTATCTTCCTTTCGTCCCTGTCAAGAAAGCAAAACACGACTCGTGTGCGTGTCTGGTGCTCCTGCATGATGGAGGTACGCAATAAGACAGCTCAGCATAGTACCCTCCTTGTTCAGCTGAAGCTCAAGCTGTTCTTCTAGTCAGTGCATGGTCGCTTCTTAACAAGTAAAAAGAACCAACATCGCAACAACATTAACAGGCCGAGTTTATTCCCTGATAACCCATAATACCTCATTTCACCTTATCGCTCCCCCGCTGATACACCGTTTGGTTTGGCTCTATTGCCTCTTCCTGTCTAGACATCGTCTCAAACTTCTCGTTCTCGCTGGCCCAAAACCAACTCGTGTAGACGTTGGTACCATGTTGATGATTGATAGCCGGACGCAGTAGGAGGAACCTGAAAATGCGAACGAAGATGGATGAAAAGAACTGGGATCTTCATAGGAACTGCACCTACCCCCCCACTGCGGTCCACCTCGATGATTGAATGATTGACTCCCCTCTACTCTAGCTTCGGTTCGTTTTTCTCCGTTTTCGTAGAAGATCGCGTTCTCACACCGCCCAACTCGAGGGGAAGAGCCGGTCTCAAAGTAAAAGGACAGCAGGCAGCACGAACCTTATCCGGGCTGTCACGGGCGGGACGATCGAACATGTGGTCTGTTGTGCTCCGCAAGGCGGTGTATCACTTTGGCGTGCTTCAGGCGTTCTCTGGTCTAGCTTTTCCGCCTTTCTGCGACTTCGAGGACGACATTCATGTGGCTCAAAAGATAGAAGATCAAGATCATTTGCTCCTCGGTGCAGCAAGGACCGCCGGGGAAGTAGCGTTGGGCGAAGATTCTTGTGTGGAGGGTTTTGCGTATCAAAATCGTGTTCTGAGGAGACAGAACGCAAGATCCACTTCTACACGGTCTAGTCGCTGTGGTGGACATGAAAAAGGGAATGAAGCTGGAGGCGTTGCCCTTAGGCAACCAAAGAAAACAACATCAGCCATGACGAGGACTCTGTCAAGAAGAACATTTTTAATGGCATACGCCGTGGTTCTCGACCGCAGTACGCCGTGGGTCTCGACCGCAGAAGAGACCCGACCGACTCCCCGCAGAAAAAAATCGCTTCTGCAGAGGGGCAAGAGCAGCGCATTTATTTTAACGCCTCCATCATTGACCTCGACTGTGAGTAATCCTCATAAAAATAGGATTGCGGCAGAAAGAGGACATAGACGGGCGCTCCGCCGCACAGAAGGACGAGGGTTTACGCAAAAAGTGGAAGTAGATAAGATCCTCCAGCATCAAGAAGCTTTTCCCGCACCACTGCTGGCACAACATCTTCATCACCAGGACCACCACGCTGGCAGCCTGAACAAAGCAGGCGAAGAACAAGCTGCAAAAAAGGACGTCAAAACGGAGCAAGTCGAAGTCCCCTTTCACCCAGACTTTTTCGACGCCCGAATCAGCGAGCGCAGCACGGCGGCGTCCGCGGAGGGGAATGATATTTTTAGCGGTTCAACATCTACTTCCACCGGTCCTCGCGCGCCGCTGGACTACGGAACCCACTGGGTGGGGCCCGAATGGTCTGAGTCCCGCTACGGGACGGATCCCATGCAGGGAACTTTTCTCACAGGAACGGAAAAAGTGGAAAACTCGACCAACACCTGCACTGAAGTAGCCAACTTTGACCCGTTCGCCGGCGGATACTGGTGGGAGATAAGGTGGAAAACCAGTTCTGACGTCTCAGCGGAGGCGGGGGGAGACGGAGAACAAGTACAACAAGCTGCTGGAGGCAGCGCCTCTGATGTGTTAACATCAAGTGTATTAAAAACGAACAGCGCCCGATACGTTTACACTATACGGTTTTTCAACCGGCGTGGGAAAGAGCACGAGCTGAATCACGCGTACTTGTACGTCGACGACGAGCACCTGCCGCACCAAGGGATTCCCATTGGCGCGATCTCGTCCGCGCCCGCGAATGTGAGTGTCGGCCTGTTTACCACCGGTGGGACGGTTGTGCAAGTCGGCAAAGTAGTGCGGGAAAAGCTGCGCATTTGGAAGTCGAACGCCTTCAGCTTATGTGGGATTTTCGTGTACGGACTGATGCAGCGCTACCCCAGCTCCGCACTCCGCGCGACCCAAGAGTCAAACGGCGACCACGTTTTTCCGCGGGATAACGGGGCGGCTATCTGTCCGATTGACCCGCATTGGTACGAGTTCGGCCGGTGGCCGGTGGCACTCTCGCACACCGCGGCGGGTGGGGGCAACCGGGGCAGGTACTGGCAACTGGAATTCGCGGATAGGGAGCCGCACTACGTGGATCTTATCGGAAGGAAAAAGCTTCTGCAGTTTCACGACTGTGATAAAAACATTTTTCATAAAATTGCAGAGCAGGATACTAGTGCAAAAGAATAGAGACAGAACAGCTTTGTCTTGCTCTTGCAATGTCTATGTTTCTACCTTTAAATAACCGTCGTGTTTGAAGTACTTTCGATCCTTTGGCAGGTCATTCGCGCGCTCATATGTTTGTATTCCACGACCGCACGTCGAAGGCAGGCCTGTCTCTGTCGTGCGAAAGAAGCAAGTATGTAGTTCCTCTCCTTTTAAAAGCAATATCATAAAGCTGCGGTATAGAGGAAACCCTACTTTTTCCTTTCGATAGCCTAGATCCGACTGTTGAACCGGCGCGACTGTTGTCCGGATCGGCTGGATAGACTCTACGTGTACTTCGACGAGGAGGCGGACAAGATCCCCGCAGTACACGAAGCCTTCGCCCTAAACGACGGCACCCACACGGTCGGGGGCGGCCGCGAGATCGCGGCCGCGCCCTGGGGCAGTATGGTGAGGATCGAGCGGTCGTTTCGCAAGATGAAACTGCAGAACACGGGCGGTACGTTAGAGTTCGTCGTGTCGCTTTCCGGGATTGATGTGTATGCCGATACGACAGTGGACCCAACAGGAAGGATTTTGGAGGTAGTTTCAGAAAATCCGTGGACGAGGAGTACAACTAGCAGTAGTTCTACGAGCAGTTCTACGACCACCTCCTCCTCTTTGAGCAACATCTCCCCGGCGGCAGTTTCTGGCACCTCCGAGGAGATCACTTCAGTTTCAGCGCAGCCAGTCGATGTTGTTGTTGAGAAGGAGATGGTAAATGATCCTCTCCCTCAGCCTGAGGGAGAGCCTGTAGTTCTTGGCGGTCAAGAAGAGGAAGAACATGTTGAAAAACAAGTCTCATCCTCGACCAGCACCACAACCATAACTATTCCGACCCCGCCACCAGCGACGCCGTCGCCGGAGTCCACTGCCGAGACGCCGACGCCGCCTGGGCCCTCCTCGGGCGAGTCAGAGGATCAGGACGGGGTGAAGAAAGTGGCGGAGCCCACGACCGAGAAGGCCGCGCCTGGGCCCTCCTCGCGCGAGTCAGAGGATCAGGACGTGGTGAAGCGCCAGACAGATCATAACGTGTATCAAGGAGCTCCTGTTCATCTTGAAGCCCATGATGCAAAGGAAAGTGACACAGAGGAACATGATTCCGAAGTAGAGGGGACTCCATTGAGCAATTCGGCGGACATCACACCCTTGCTGGGAGATGGTGCGGAAAGTAGAACTGACCAGGTTGCGTCGCAGGTGCAGAACAAGATGCAGAGCAACTATTTGCTTCCCCCGGACCTGATGCAGACGCTAGCGCTCTTGGGGAGAGATGCAAAAAAAGAGAGCAACAGCACGGAAGAAACGGGAGGAGGTGCGGGAGGAGACAGCACAGAGAACAACACCGAGGCAGCGTGCCTGCGTATTGCACTCATCGCAGTCATAGCTATCGATCGAGAAACGAAACTACAAACCTGCAGTAGGTGATGTTCATGCGCCACTTTCATTCATTTGGATTTGTCGCGCAAATTGAGCACGGTAGTTTGTGGAGCGACTGCTTTTGTTTAAGGAAGTGAGCAAAGAGCATTCTGGCTGCATAGAAGAAAAAAAAGCTTTTGTGCAAGTGGAGGTCCTGCTCTGTTGTGCATGATGCAGAGCTTACGTCTTTCTCTTTTTGTCATCTGATTTCGGTCGCACCAGCTGCTTCTCCTGCTCATGCGTATGCAAATGTATGAAGGGGAAAGATGACCCATGGGGCTGTAGTAAGTAGTTTATGTTTGGTTTGATAATGGGTGGTGTGCTGGTGGTGTGCACAGTGTTCGTGATTGCGTTCCACATCGGAGAAGAGCACGATCGGGAAGATCATGCAGGGGGAGCACCGATACTAGCGGCAGGGGCTGCTTCGCGGACCAGCGCATTTCTAAATACTTTTGTGGCAGACGGGGCAGCTGCCTCCTCGTCGGGCTTTGATCCGGATTCGGGTCAACTGGAGGAGGATGAAGAACGATTCACTTTCGGGAAATTGTAGCTGGTTTTAGGGCAAAAAAATCTTTTTGCAGTTTTATTCCGCTGAGCTGACAAGAATGAACGTGAACGTGATTTACGACCGCTGTCTTGGGATGTTCTCGCAAGGTCTAAAGCGGTCGGGTGGCTACGTATTTTTCTTACCAAAAAAACAAAAAGTATTTGCTGTTGATTTAGGCCTTTCGTTTTTAGGAAAAAATCATCACAGAAGGGGGCGATGAGACACACTGTGAATCTTGTTGGAGCCCGAAGTCGCAAATCACAAAAAACGCTAATGTTTTTTTAGATATCATGGGTATAATCAGAGATGTGCTCATGTTCTTCCTTGTAGCAGCGGTAGTTTGAATACAAAGGCATGCTGTGTACATGACAGCGTGCGATAATTTTCGCTTACAATTTCCTGTTGCTCGTCTTGTTTGAATTTGGAAAGCAGCGCGTCGTTTTCGTTGTCTTCCGGTGGCAAAGCTAGCAAATCGTACAAATTAGAGCAAATATCGTGGTCCTCGTTGTTTTAGAATAGTTTGTGTAGTTGTCACATTGTCGTTCGTATAGAAAAATCGTCCACTAAAAAACGTACGTCCAGTTAGCACTTTGTATCGCTTCAGCAGGTAGTGCTGCAGTTTTTTCAATGATGATAAAGAAAGGTGTCCCTCAACGCCGTATAATGTTTGAATTTCCGCCTCAGGTTTCTACGACGTCGAACCCAAAGGTAGATCTAGCACAGTTTTTGGTTGGTAGATTGAGTACAAAAAGAACACCTACCTCAATTTAATCACCAACTTTCAATCGCATACCGTCAGCGTGCATTAGAATCGCGCTCCACCTCGAGCTGCAACTCGGTGGAGATGTTTCATCCTGAAAAAGCAGCAGGTGACCCCCACCTCGCAGCGGAAAAAGCGAAGGGGCTCGTCGATGCCTTCTCGTCCCGAGGAAACTGCCCCCCTCGGCGTGGCGGAACCTCTTGCGGAGCTTCTGGTCGTCCCCGAGCTCGACCTGTTTTGATGCTGGTCTACGCCACTGCAGCACAGCTTTTTCCCGGGGGGTTCTACTTGCAAGGTTCCCTTGCCCTGTTTCGCGGTAGAAGAGGCACCACGTCGGCGGCGCAGGGCAAAACAGCGAGAAAAAATTCCCCCTCTTTGCTGGGGCGGAGCACGACCACCAAGGGGGACCTGGAGGGGGGGAAAAAGAACGTCGTGGGCAGTAGTCGTGGGACAAAAATGTTGATGTCACGACCTGTGGATGATGATGATGAAGCAGAGTTGGAAAAAGACGGTGACCACCGGGATGAGGAAATAGATCCCAGTCATTTATTGGCCGCCGCTTCTGTGGAACAAACACCAACACGGAAGGGCAAATTCTTGCAGCTCTTCCGCGGGACGAGGGAGAACAAAGGGATGAACCAACCGAGTAAACGCGATCAAAAGACCACGTTCTTGCAGTCCAGAGCGTCTTCGACGCACGAGCAGAAGCAACGGAAGAAAGTCCTCCGCAGCGGAAGTACCTCCACAAGAACCTCCAAAGCAGGGAAGACAGCGCAGCAGCTGGACAGCACAGCGAGCTCGCGCAGGAGGAGGAGCGCGCGCAGGAGGCGACGGAGCGCCGGGTCACGCGATTTCGGGACGCACGAGGAAGATTACGGCGACTCTGACCACCCGGAAATCAAGTACGAGTACTCGTGCAAATACCACGCGACGAAGTACAGAGATGCGGCCACCGACGCCAGATACAATACGATGATGGCCGTCTACACCACTCTGAATTACATTGACACTTCGAACATGGGGCTCCTGGACCCGAGGGTCGAGACCGTGGAAAATTGGGTCGCGGACCCGTTGGACCGGGTCTTCATTCTGCTGCTGCCGGAGCACCAGCAGGGGGGCGCGGAAATTCGCAAGTACACCAAGAGACTGTGCGAGAACTGGGCGGACTATTTTGACGAGAAAGAGCTTGGTGACGGGGACGGCGAACCGAAGATCGAGCTGGGAAAGGACAGCGATACGCACATCGTGGTCCCCCTGTTTCGGTCCTACAAGGACAAAAAAAACGGCGAATTCTTTTGGGGCGACGAGTCGGAGACGGATTATGGGCACGACGACAACTTGTTTGGTGTCAACCACGGGTATCGCTCGACCAACCCGGTCCCGGGGGACGACATCCAAGTTACCTCCTTTGAAATGCTGGACACACTGGTAACACGGCTGATCCCTCGCGTGAAAAAGCAGATCGTGGTGGTGGGACGAGCGGGGCAACGGTGGGCGTTGATGAGCCGCATTCCGCTGGACACCCTGCAGGGAGACACGGGTCACGTGAATCGCATCGATGTTTTGTTCGGGCAGGAGAATTCCTACGGCTATTTGGACAACCTACGGACTACGGCTCATTGGAAAGGAGGGAATTGCCGCGGTCCGAATAAGGCATCCGGCAACTGCGGGGAGCCAACTGATAACGAGTGGACGACCGAGTTGCAAGAGACGGTTCCGAACGTGCTCTGGACCGCGTTGGCCGACAAGGCGGGGGAAGCAGAGTTTTTGCTGCAGGGTAAAGAAGAAGACTACCTGCTTCAGCCGCCGGATGGGCTGCTGCCGTCGCAGTCGCAAGCAAACGTTGCTGCGTACTTGAAAAACGAGGTCTTCTCCCGGTTCAGAATCCACATGACGGTGGACGTGAATGATCGTTGCCTGAGTCTGGAGGACCACCCGGTGGCTGCGTTTCGAAAGGTCTATACAGACTCGAACACGTTGGGGGTCTTTCACAAGCACTACCTGTTCGAAGACGATTTCTGTGACGATTCCGAAGATTTCGTTCACGACCGCAACGACGCAACCCGGCTGGCCTTTTCCCAGGGGTTTCACCGGTTCCAACGTGCGAAGTCGTTTCAATTTTGGATGAAAAAACACCTGGACACGACCAACATGCAGAATGTCGAAGATGACCACTTTGTCATTCATGACTGCGATGCGGAATTTGGCAAGGGCAGCGCCTCCAAGTGCCGCCACACGGAGAGCTTCATAAAACGGGCAGCGCGGCGAATCGCCCAGGGAGAGTACGGCCCGGTCAAATTGGACGAGTACAGCCCAGACTCGGAGGCGGACGAAGCGGGCGCGCAAGAAGAACTGAAGGCGCTGGAGGGGTTGAGAGAGGACGCGGACAACTCGTTGGACGTCGCCGTGGATGCGAAGGACGCGGCCGAAGACGCAAATACTATCGCGCAAACGCAGAAGGAAAACGCCGAGTCCCACCGGGGCGAGGCGCAGAAGGCTGGCGCTTCGGCGGCCGAGGCGGCGGTCTCGGCTACAAGGGCCGAGACGGCGGCGGACGCGGCGGGTGAGGCAATGAGAGCGGCGGAGACGGCCCGGCAGGAGGCCGTGGAGGCTGCAGCCGCTGTGGAAACTGCGGCCAAAACAGCGGCGGACAGGGGAGTAATGCTGGAGATATACTCTGCGAGTGCCCTGTACAATGAATTGCTCCAAACAGTGGAAGATGTGCGCACCATCGCGCAGACCGCGGCCACGGTCAAGGCTGACGCGGAGAAAGCAGCGAACGATGCCGAAGCTGCGCATGCAGCCGCAACTGCCGCAGCACAGGCTGCGAGGGCCGCCGCGAACAGTAAGGACGGTGGATCTGCCGACGGCGCAGGTTCGGAGGTGCTGGAGGAGCTGGGCAACCTGGAAACACAGGCTAAACAGGCGCTGGCTGACGCCAGAGCCGCCAAGGGCGCAGCCGATGCTGCGGACACTACCGCGCAAGCGAAGAGGGCAGAGGCGGAAGATGCCAGCGCGGAGGCACAGAAGCTGGAACTTTCGGTGAGCCAGGCGGCTGCTTTTGTCTCACAGGCCGAAGCGGCGGTGGACGAAGCGCGCGTCGCAAAAACAGCGGCGGTGAATGCGACGAAAGATGCCGAGGCGGCCGCTGAGGTTGCCGCCCAGAACGCGGAAGATGCCGAGGCGCTTGCGAGTCAACACTCCGGCACGGAAATCGAAGCGGCAGGGGTTCGAGTTCGTGTCCTTGCAAACAGCGTGCACACGGTGTTCGCTGAAACAACATCTGCCAAGAACGCGACAGTTGCCGCGTATCTTGCCGCATCTGCGGCTGCGAGGGCTGCTGCGGATCATGTTGGCGATGGACTCATGCAAGCCCCACTGCAAATTGCCCGCGAACAGTTGGCTGCTGCCGAAGCTGCGCTTGAGCTGGCCCAAGGCTCCTTGGCTGACGCCGAAGGCGCCCGGGAACGCGCGCAGAGCCACCAGGCCGAGGCAGAGAAGGCCGAGACCTCGGCTGCGGCAGCGGCTTGGGCCACGAAGGCGGAGGAGGCGGCGGGCGCCGCACGCACTGCAAAAGAATCGGCGTCGCTTGCAGCGGCGGAGGCCCAGAATGCCGCCGATTATGCGGGGGAGAAAGCGGACCACGCAGAGACCCATGCGGGAGGCTCCGATCAGGAGGAGCAAGCGGGGACGGTTCGCACCCTCGCGGGGCAGGCGCAAACAGCAGCTAGCAGCGCGGCCCAAGCGGCAAGTGAGGCCGCAGACGCGCACACAGCCGCAACTGGCGCAGCAAATGCTGCGAGGGCCGCTGCAGATTCGAAAGCCGAAGAAGAGGGCGCTGGGAATGCCGGGGGCAGCGGCGCCGGCACTGGCGACGATGCTGGGAATGCCGGTGACAGCGGCGCCGACACTGGCGACGATGCTGGGAATGCCGGGGGCAGCGGCGCCGACACTGGCGAAGAAGCTGGGAATGCCGGTGACAGCGGCGCCGACACTGGCGACGATGCTGGGAATGCCGGGGGCAGCGGCGCCGACGCTGGCGATGAAGCTGGGAATGCCGGTGATAGCGGCGCTGACGCTGCGGGAGGTACGGGGGGTGCCGGCGACGGCGAATCGACTTCGACCTCCGAAGGCGGAGATGGGAGCCTCAGCGGGGCCAGTTCCCAGCAAGAAGAGAACGCCGACGACGAGGCCGACGAGAGCCAGGTTCCCGGCGGTGGGAGCCAGGCGCCCGAGGGGGGCGAGGATGTTGGATTTGACAGTGACACGGGCGTGGTCAACCTGCCGGACGATGTTGAGGAGGAGGGCGGTTGCTGCCGCTAGGTTGTGGCGCACAAGCACGGGAGGGTGGCTGTTGTCAGTTCCCGATGCCTCCTCTGGCAGAAGTGTTAAGATGAAGCGAGTAAGTAAGTAGTTAACGTACTTTTTTTTCAATGCAAGCTGACAGTTTTTCATTTTTGAGTTACGCCCGCAACGAGTTCCGCCCGCAACCACATTCCTGTGACCTCACGCACGACACGGGGTCCTTGCCCATGTACTTTGCTTTGTTTCCAACTTCTGTTCTAGAAAGATGCACAGCATTTTCATGTTTGCGTTGCAAATACGTGATTTTAATCCATTAGGAAGAGTAGAAAAACAAACTTTTTGCCGTCAAGTAGTAAGTACTAACCTGCGAAGATCCCCACCCAGCTTTTGAATATGTTCCCCATGATTACTAAAGCTTTTTCTCTGTTCGCTTTTTTTTCTCGCTACTACGTCGTTCCAAATATTTTTTCTTTCTTTTAACGATGAAGAATCTACACCAAGAAAGAGCTTTCTTCCGGCCAACAGATCCCATTTTTCCCCGTTTACCTGCGACGTTTGGAAAGAAGCTGCGCAGTAGTTCTTCTTCCGTGTCGTTAGTAAGTACAATGTTTTTTGGACCCATGTGCGATGCCGCAAGAGGGCGCGGCCACCCTACCACAGTGAATAAATTGTCCTCGTGCGTATCCCGCATCAGCCCTGTGAGGACAAGCTCCGACTCCTGCGCTAGTGGTCAAAGAAAAAGTTTCGCTCCTGCCAAGACGATGCTGGTGACCAATGTACTTAATTGAAAACCCCAATATGAGAAAAAAACACTTCCGTGTCGAAAGAGTGACTGCGCTTCTTGCTCGAGGACAGAAATTACCGGTTCAGCTTAGTCCCATGTTCACTCTTTGCGTACTTCGCTGCGTCATCTTCGTGCAAGTGCAAGATGCGGAAGTAGTACGTAAGTCGTGAAATAAAATAAGCAAGCAGTAGACCACTCGTCTAGTATGAGGAAGGACACGTCTAGAAGGAAGAAGACAAGCTCGTACTTTCCACCTCTATTAAGCTATCGTATTCATAATTGTCGTGAAGATCTCAGTCCCGCTTCGTGGTCGTGCAGGAACCTCTTCTCTTCGTTCCCCTAAACGTCCTCGATTTCCGTAGTTCTAGCAGTTCTCGTCAACTTCCGTGGTTCTACAAAAAGTTCCGGGACGTGTTCTTCAGCGCCGGACTGGTTGATGTCGTGGTCACGAAAGAAGCACAAGCACGCCATTACTTTTCTATCGTTTATTCGTCCTTCTCGTTGGCAAGGAATTCGTGCTAATAGTTCTCGTCCTGGTGTTGGTTTGCTGCCTAGTGTATGTCTGCAGCACCACACTCCACCAATCCACCAATCGTTGAGCTCCTTTGCCGTTACCTCAAGTAGAGGTTCAAAAAGTTTAAGTTTGTGCTTGCATATTGGACGTGGCTCCCGATAGTGATACCCATGCAAGGCAACGAACTTACTTCCGTTTCAGGCTTTTCCATCCCCGCCCGACTTTGATTTGCACGATGTTTCACTGTAGGTTGTATTTGCGGCACAGAAGTGAGCACCTTCCTGGAGGTCGTGTGTTATCATAGTACAACCTTGATGCCACTTTTCTACTAAAGGAGCAGCCTTCATCACTATACTTGCACGAGCCTAAATTATGCCCCCTAAAACAAGTATATCTAGTTTACTCTACTCACATCAGCTGCAGATGAACAAATACAAGATGAGCCGTTCCAGCAGCCTCTGGTGGGGGAACATCAAGCTTTTTCCACCAATGTGCATTTATTTCCTCGCCTTGTTGGTCTCTGACGCTTATTTCTCCCCCGTGTCAAGAACTACAGGGTGGTCCTCGGAAGGAAATTGTGCAGGGCCTTCATGCAAGATGAAAGGGACACATTCTGTTTCTGCCACCACGTTCCTCTTCGCGCGAGCCGCGGTTTTGCGTGGAACAACTACCACCGGAGCAGTACTCCTAGAGGGGAGCACCAGGAATAATAGAGACGCGGACCGAGGAACGTTGACGGATACAACAGCTTCCAGTTCTACTGCGCAAATAAGGGCTTTTCCACACCTTGTCGTGGACGAGGACCCAACACGGAATAAACGAACAGCGAGCTCCACAAGGCTCGTCGGGGCAACAAGGCTCGACCGGAGGTCCAGTAGTTCGCGGGCAGGAGGTGCTAGCGAATCTACTTCATCGTTCCCTGTTCTGTTGATCAATAAGTCCAAGGAGGATAATAAGCAAAGCCCGTTGATGGTTGATGATGAAGATGTTGACCACATGATCGTGACCGGCAAACAAAAGGAGAAACAAGCCTGGTCGTCGTCCGCTTTCCTGACTAAAAAAGCCAAAAGCCGCACAGCAGTTGGAGCAAATGCTAACGAAAATCATCTGCGTGTTCTTGGTCGCACTGGTGGAGATCATGCCGACCACGACGTCGACGACGCCGAAGTACAACTAGAACGACCATCCTATTCCCTTGCCCTGTCGGCGGTGGCCGAATTCGGCCACTTTACGGATACAGACGACTGCTTTTATCCATGCGGGGAAAAGATGTCTCCTTCAGCATCTTTTCAAAATTTGACAACCTCTTTGGCAACCTCTTTGATGAGGTCTCCCAAGAGGCTATTAACTTAAGCTATTCCGCATGGTATGGTGGATTTTGATGAACCTATTTGGGAACCTCTTTGGTGCGCCCAGACAGAGAATTGCTGACGAAAGTCAAAGGCTTTGACTTGCGCTCCAGCTGGCGGGTCGCCAGATGGTAAGCAAAGCCGTGCCTCTGGCGACACCTGTTTGCTTGCCTCTTTTGTGGCTCCGAAGATTGCGAAGATGCACCCTCAGCAAGTTTGCGAATTTTGAAAGACACGAAGAAGAATAGGCTGCACACCCTTTCCGCGGCTGTCGAAATTTGAAAAGATGCGCTGGTAGCATCTTTTCAAATTTTGGAAGCCACAGAAGACTGAGCTGACCTCCCTTTGCGTGGTTTCTCAAATTTGAAAAGATGCTCCTTCGGCATCTTTTCAAATCCTGAAAGCCACAGAACAGCCAGCTGCCCTCCTCGTCTGCGGCATGTAAAATTTGAAAAGATGCTCCTTCAGCATCTTTTCGAATCTTGGCAACCTCAGGACAGAAAACGGATCGGCTCTACTGCGGCTTCGAAGATTGAAAGGATGCTCCTTTAGCATCTTTTCGAATTTTGAAAACCACAGACGAGTAAGCCGACCCCGTGTTCTGCGGCTTCAAAAATTGAAAAGATGCTCCTTCAGCATCTTTTCAAATTTTGGAGGCCAAAGGCCACGCGCTTCAGATTTGAAAAGATGCTGAAAGGGCATCTTTTCAAATCTCAAGAACCACAGGAGAGCACAGCAGCTTTTTCGCCTGTTGGTTTTCAGATTTGAAAAGATGCGCCCCGAGGTATATTTCCCCGCTTCAGCCGTGTCCACATCTGAAAAGGTTGCGCCATGAAGCACGAGCCACCTCGTCAGGGGTTGCTCGCTCCTCAGGTCTCCCGGATCTCTCGACCCCTTTGGCTTCTCGGACAGCTGTGGTATGTGCGCGCCTCCCTATTCTACCTAGACCTCCCATTCCAGTTGGCTTTTCCGGGTTTCCCAGCGTACGCCGCCTGTCCTCATTTTACTGGGTGCGCGCCAAGTCCTGAACCGCTAGGGGTTTGGGAAGCTGCGCAGAAGATGCGGTGGGCGCTGTTTCCGAATCAGGCCCAAGCCAGGCCGGGGCTGATAAGAGGGGGGGCGCAGCCTTTCGCTTGGCTGCGCCTTGTCGAGGGTAAATTGGCCGGGGGCATTTTCCGCGTTTGTCGCTATTGCCGGGCGCCTTTCCTTACCTGCGCAAGCAGAGGCGCGCTCAGGGTCCATGGCCTCATATGATTGGGAGGCTCGTTTTGGATGGCTTTTCTTTTTGGGGTGTTTGGCTTGCGTTTCTGCCCCGGGCCTCGGGGCAGAAATAGAACAGCCCGGCTTGGCGCGTTTGCAAAGGCGGACGCGCAGCCGCCATCGAAGAGGCGCTACGCGATAATCGGTGAGGGCGCCGAGCAATCAACTGGCCAAAATTTGAAAAGATGGGCGAAAAGGTGGATATTTTAGGGCCTTCATTTACGGATACAGACGACTGCTTTTATCCATGCGGGGGAGCCGACTCCACGGTGCGGGGCTGGCTGTGGGACGTGGGGCAATGCAAATATGATGGTAGTGCGTTTCTATACTTATCCTGTTTCTAACATTCAATTCATCACCTTGTTTCTATTTATGGCCTTTCACGCTCTTTGTCATTGTCTTTGGATTAGTTTCGCGGCACTTTTTCGCACAAGCGTTTAGAAATCATCATGGAAAATGGCGCGCGGAGTCGGAAACATTGAAAACGACGCCGAGCTCGACGGAACCGCATGAAGGGCGGCGGGGGGTTGGAACATCTGCGCGCGTCGTTGGGGCCACAGAAAGAGGAGGACTAGGCCGCGGGGCATACGCACGCGGGGCAGGAGGGAAAAAACGGAGGCGAAACGAGAACACGGGGCGCAGTACGAAAGTGGATCGAGAACCAACATGCTGGAGCAGGGGACAAGCGCGGAAAAGTAAGAAATCGGGAAAAAAAAAAAGCCGGATACCCGCGCAATTCCTCACATGTGAATAACATGGTGGGCGGGAGGGGTTCTTCACATTTTTGGAAACGCCCACCGCCCCGACTAGAATAGTTGAATGATGAAAAATTGGGGGCAGGGCAAAAAAAAATCCCCATCCTGACTCTGGTGTGGGGACGTTTTTACTCAGGATAAACGCAAGAACAAACGCAGCAGCTGCATCTTCTTCGCGGCGGAGCAGCTTCGTGAACCAGTTTGCCGCTGGTGAAGTAGCTGCCCCTTCGTCGAGGGGCTCGCGCCTGGTGGTGGAAGGCGTGAAAAGCCAAAAATCATCCGACGGAGGACTGGCGTCTGGAACTACACTGTTGGGAGCGGGAGGTGGTACTACAACCAATGCGACGCTTCCTTCGGTGCTTACCTTGCAGCGGGCGGGCACGGCCGACTTTTTCGTGCCGTCTTTCGAGGAAGAAGCGCATTTCGATCAGAACTACGACGAGAACAACTACGAGAAGGCCGGCGAGGAGAAAAATAGTATCTCACCACCTGCCAACGCCGACGAAGACGAGCTGCCCGTGGACGAAAATGCAAATGCAAACACTCCGGAAAATAATAAGCAGCCGGAGCAGGAAAAGACAGAACGAAAATCCGGTCGAAAAAAGTGCGGGGACAAACGCACAAAAACAGCGGCGACGAAAAAGAAATCCAATGCGAATGAAGATGTTTAAAGACCTACTTATTAGCTGGAGATACAGAACAGAGTCTAAACATTTTGACTTTCCGAAATAAAGTATCTACCCGTAAGAACGCAAGATCAGTACTACGCCAAGACGAAATCGGCCGCACAAAAGAGGCTGTATTTTTGTTAGATTCGTTTTCGTTTTCGTCGCGTTATATTGGTTCATCACGCCTTGTTCTGCTCCAGTCTTGTTCTCGTGCCATTCCGAGGACTTTCGCGAAGTCGCGTACTCTTCATCTTTCGTCCAGATTTTTCGTTCCCGTACCCGTTTATCATCGTGCAGAGTCTGAATCATTGATTTCATCATTGCAGACCGTGTTTGTATCGTCCTCGTTCATGACTTACTGTATTGTATTTACGGCCAACAAAACACCGAGGAAGTCGCCAAGTAGATCACGCCCAACTTTCACAACATCTGACAGGCATTCAACCTCCCCCTTCCGACGGTGTATTTTTCGGCAAAAAATGATCTGGTAACCAAATGCGTGCGCGCGCGCGCGCGCAGAGCGCGCGCCGGCCCACGAAGCCGGCGCGCGCGCTCTGCGCGCTTGCGATATTGCTTAGCAAACGCAGCGCGAAGGCAGTTGCCGTTACCATATAGGGCAACCGCCGGGAGGCGTGAAGGCCAGGGAAATGGCCAGAAATGAAGCGGGAGAAGGGAAAAAAAGCGGACCAGATGGGAAAATGGCCAGGAGGTCAAAAATCTCGCAAAAATGGCAGAAACCAAGCGGGAGAAGGTGAAAAAAGAGCATTTATGCGATTTGGCCCACTTGATATCTGCAAAAGAGACGGAGTATTTTTTGCTCCGCCCGCTGGCCAGCTGCGTTGGAGCAGCAGGCCCGCGACCTGTCCGGAAGCCTTGGGCCGCTTCGTAACTGGAAAAAGTTGGAAAAAAATGGCAAAAAATTGCTTCATAACGTGGGTGGAAGCAATCGTCGGATTTTGTCCAGATCACCCGGGCCACTGGGAAAATGAGAAAAGATGAAAAATTGCGCAAAAGCGCAATCCCTCCGCAGGCTTCAAAACTGCCAGTCAGATGCGGGCGGTAAAAATGTCCAGGTCGCCCGGGCCACTGGGAAAATGAGAAAAGATGAAAAATTGCGCAAAAGCGCAATCCCTCCGCAGGCTTCAAAACTGCCAGTCAGATGCGGGCGGTAAAAATGTCCAGGTCGCCCGGGCCACTGGGAAAATGAGAAAAGATGAAAAATTGCGCAAAAGCGCAATCCCTCCGCAGGCTTCAAAACTGCCAGTCAGATGCGGGCGGTAAAAATGTCCAGGTCGCCCGGGCCACTGGGAAAATGAGAAAAGATGAAAAATTGCGCAAAAGCGCAATCCCTCCGCAGGCTTCAAAACTGCCAGTCAGATGCGGGCGGTAAAAATGTCCAGGTCGCCCGGGCCACTGGGAAAATGAGAAAAGATGAAAAATTGCGCAAAAGCGCAATCCCTCCGCAGGCTTCAAAACTGCCAGTCAGATGCGGGCGGTAAAAATGTCCAGGTCGCCCGGGCCACTGGGAAAATGAGAAAAGATGAAAAATTGCGCAAAAGCGCAATCCCTCCGCAGGCTTCAAAACTGCCAGTCAGATGCGGGCGGTAAAAATGTCCAGGTCGCCCGGGCCACTGGGAAAATGAGAAAAGATGAAAAATTGCGCAAAAGCGCAATCCCTCCGCAGGCTTCAAAACTGCCAGTCAGATGCGGGCGGTAAAAATGTCCAGGTCGCCCGGGCCACTGGGAAAATGAGAAAAGATGAAAAATTGCGCAAAAGCGCAATCCCTCCGCAGGCTTCAAAACTGCCAGTCAGATGCGGGCGGTAAAAATGTCCAGGTCGCCCGGGCCACTGGGAAAATGAGAAAAGATGAAAAATTGCGCAAAAGCGCAATCCCTCCGCAGGCTTCAAAACTGCCAGTCAGATGCGGGCGGTAAAAATGTCCAGGTCGCCCGGGCCACTGGGAAAATGAGAAAAGATGAAAAATTGCGCAAAAGCGCAATCCCTCCGCAGGCTTCAAAACTGCCAGTCAGATGCGGGCGGTAAAAATGTCCAGGTCGCCCGGGCCACTGGGAAAATGAGAAAAGATGAAAAATTGCGCAAAAGCGCAATCCCTCCGCAGGCTTCAAAACTGCCAGTCAGATGCGGGCGGTAAAAATGTCCAGGTCGCCCGGGCCACTGGGAAAATGAGAAAAGATGAAAAATTGCGCAAAAGCGCAATCCCTCCGCAGGCTTCAAAACTGCCAGTCAGATGCGGGCGGTAAAAATGTCCAGGTCGCCCGGGCCACTGGGAAAATGAGAAAAGATGAAAAATTGCGCAAAAGCGCAATCCCTCCGCAGGCTTCAAAACTGCCAGTCAGATGCGGGCGGTAAAAATGTCCAGGTCGCCCGGGCCACTGGGAAAATGAGAAAAGATGAAAAATTGCGCAAAAGCGCAATCCCTCCGCAGGCTTCAAAACTGCCAGTCAGATGCGGGCGGTAAAAATGTCCAGGTCGCCCGGGCCACTGGGAAAATGAGAAAAGATGAAAAATTGCGCAAAAGCGCAATCCCTCCGCAGGCTTCAAAACTGCCAGTCAGATGCGGGCGGTAAAAATGTCCAGGTCGCCCGGGCCACTGGGAAAATGAGAAAAGATGAAAAATTGCGCAAAAGCGCAATCCCTCCGCAGGCTTCAAAACTGCCAGTCAGATGCGGGCGGTAAAAATGTCCAGGTCGCCCGGGCCACTGGGAAAATGAGAAAAGATGAAAAATTGCGCAAAAGCGCAATCCCTCCGCAGGCTTCAAAACTGCCAGTCAGATGCGGGCGGTAAAAATGTCCAGGTCGCCCGGGCCACTGGGAAAATGAGAAAAGATGAAAAATTGCGCAAAAGCGCAATCCCTCCGCAGGCTTCAAAACTGCCAGTCAGATGCGGGCGGTAAAAATGTCCAGGTCGCCCGGGCCACTTGGAAAATGAAAAAAGATAAAAAATTGCGCAAAAGCGCAATCCCTCCGCAGGCTTCAAAACTGCCAGTCAGATGCGGGCGGTGAAAATGTCCAGAGCCCTTCGGCCACCTAGAAACTTGAAAAAAAAGGTGAAGTGGGCGAAAGTCGAGAACCCTCAGCAGGCTTACAAACTGGCCACCAAGGGCGGTCCGGCGGGCGCGTGGTCGCGCCATACCGTCGGGATTGTGAAAAAAAAAACGCACTAGAAGCGGGCGGAGGGATGTCACAAAATCCCCGTTTGCCCTGGTTTGTGGGCACAAATCCTGCACCTCCGCCGCGTCTGAAATGCCCGATTTTGGTGGCCCGGAAGGGACCGCGGAGATTCGGCGTTCCGGATACCTTCTTGGCCAGGAGGCCAGTTTGTCATGCAGGGGGCTAGAAAGGATGCCTCCTTGCGAAGGTGGATGGCCACATACCTTCTTGGCCAGGAGGCCAGTTTGTCATGCAGGGGGCTAGAAA